CCGTCCCGCCCGGCCACTAGGTACCGAGTGACACTTTCTTCCGTTTCCCTTTTCTCTTTCTCTTGGAAGGCAAGCATCCTAAGAGAGGCTTAAGGTGAGAAATACAGCTGCAACTCTGAGACGGTCCCTCTGTATCCCATAAACATCTGTATAAATAGGGTTCAAAAAAGAAGAAAAACAGGAAAAAAAAAAAAAAAAGAAAACCAGATCGTGTTCCCTTATTTTTCTTGTAAATGTTGATCTGATAGGGGGGTTGGGGATTTTTTTTTAATTGGTGAATTCCTGAAATTCAGGGAGGTTTTGGGGTTTTGATTTTTTTTTAATTATAAATTTCTGATGCACTTTGTGGAAGTCAGTATATATGTAAAAGATATTTAAAATGTTGAGTTAACACTTCACTCAAATACACGTAAGTTAAGGTCTCTTAAAGAAATTAAATGCGTTTATCTGTATGGAAAAAAATCTTGACATATTTTCATTTTGGTATTATTAAAGGACTCTGAACAATATACTCACGGGTTTGTTCTTCTTCGTGTCCCCTCCTTCCCTCCCGCCCAGTCCTCGCAGGGGTCACTTTTTGAGTAGGAGCCCTCGCACCCCTTTCCATCGTCCTCACAAGTCACTGTGATTAAAAATACAGTCGACAAGGATATAGCTGGGAGGGGATGGGACCGGCCCCTGAGCCAGGCGCACTGAACCACTCTGCTCGCTCTTTTCAAGCCGCCTTTGCTTTGATTTACTTTAAAAAACAAAACAAAAAACCAACAAATTTTAACAGAGTCCGAGCCCTGCTACAGCCGGAAACCATGCTGAGACCTAAGTGGCTTTGGTGAAACCGTCCCCAAAATCGAGTGAAGGCAAACTGCGCTGAGGAACTATTTATTTAATTTTAAAAGCCTTCAGCGCCACAAGGCTGCCTAGGCTGGGAGGTGATCTCAGGGGAATAAATCGCTAGAGTCAATACTCCGGAAAAGACATTTCATGCCTAAATGAAAATCTTGTTAAATGTTATTAATTTTGACTTAGAGCACACAGCAGCCCCCTGTGCCTTGTATTCCCTTATTAGGGATTCATGTCTTATCAAATATCTAATTAATCTCCTAGACATCATTTGTTCTGGCCAACTTTATCTCAGCTGGTCCGCGGGGAAAACTCCGAATATTCTCGGTGACAAAGCTCCCTTGAAGATCCTTTTAATTGTCCAAATTAACTGCACCAAATTTGCATGTCAAACGGTAAAGGGCAACCTAAGATAAAATGTAAACGTTTTAAAAGCCCCAAACTAAGCACTTGATTTGATAACTAGGCTTTTTAATGTTATGGAAGACAACTGCTCCTTTCCTTTTCAAAGACAGTTGATCTATGCAAATAGTGAATTGGAAATGCTTATGTCCCCATGCAGTCAAATGGTCCTTGCATGTTATTTGAATATCAGTGGCTTTGCTATTGAAAAGGTTCAAGGATGCTCTCTGACTTCTTTGTGATTACTCAGTGCAGCGTCTTATTCTGAAGAAAAAAACCTCAGGAATAATTAAAGGCTGGGCTAAGGCCTGGGAACACATTTGGGACAGGAATCTCATTTAGACAGGCTCTTTCAAAATAAGGCACAGTTAAATTGACCAGAAGGCAATTATTGAAATGAAAATTATTTTCACTCCCTTTGTCTCCTGACCACCAACCTAACAGCCACAGTATTTTTTTAAAGGCAAATTGTTAAATGAGATAATTGTGTTATTAAAAAAAAAAAGAAAAAAAAGAAAAAGAAGAGGGTGAGGAAAAAAAAGTTAATTTACTCTGGCCGGTACAGATTGGATGAATACAAATATTTTAATCCTCCATAAAACAGGGAATGCAAATAGCACCGAGAAACGGATTCTGCTGTCGGCCACCAACTGGAATAAAGACGTTGCGTTAAAGAAAATACATCTGCCGTGAATACTAATAACCGCGTCCCACCTCCTCCGCGCCACTGTCGCACAAAAGCAATCGGGCAGCGCCGGCANACCTCATTACCGAGTCAGCAGAGCTGCTTTAATGGACTTGTGTGCAAAGGCGCTTTTACGCTCTATAAACGTTGGGTCCGAGCGTTTGCTAATTAAACTCTTTCTATTTAGAAACACCTGCGTTTTAAGAAAGCTTTCTGAACGCTAGCACTGGTGAATTCCCAACCTGCTGCAGTCTGAGCTTGTCATGCCTAACCTATACATCGTAAGAGCACTGGAAAGCATGTGAACCAAGAGGTAAAATCCTCGTACAATGTTCCTCAGACTTTCATACCAAGGCAGAAAACAAATCTATGATGCTGTTGAATAATCTCCCAATAATTGTAGTAATTAAAATCATCATCCAGTCTGCAGTCACCTTCCTTCCTTTGACACTAGTCTTCCCTGGAATTGTTAACGTGTCTCCGGCTGAGATAAACAGAACAAGGGAGCTTTAAAATTCACAGTCCAAATAAATTTAGCGGAAGAGAATTAATTCCAAAGGCACGCTTTTGAGTGCGTTCAGTAAACGACAGGATTTCTGAAACGACTGTGCAGATTTTTTAAACACAGAGTAATATGGGTCTCCCTGCTACTCCTAAACAGCGTCACCTTAAAGATCGAGAAAATATGAAAGCCCAGCCTGATGCTCCACCTCGGGGCTCAATGTGCAGGGGGCAGGAGGAGAGGGGAGTGCACCGTGTAACAAACATCATATGAAAGATCAAGCAGAAATTGTGGGAGAGTGCCATAATTTTCATTTAATTTCCATTATCTATTTGATCCCAGTGCTCATTCCCTTTTTATTAACTATAAAAGATTTCCTTCTAATCAAAAGCTGCACTTCATCTTTACCCACAAATTAAAAACTCTATAGTGGAAAGAATTCAGTGGACTCAACAGGCACCAAGGTCTGTATTTTAACACTATCTCTATTTATACTTCCCCCTTGTAGTATCTAGTCTTGGGCAGAATAGCAGGGGAGCCTTTTCCTAACTGAAGTTATTAATTTATCACCAGGTACCCCTCTGAGTTGCTCTGATAATCAATGCTGGCTTCTAGATCACGTAAATGAAGAGTGTAATTGAGGGGGGAGGGGGTTCCGCACGGAAGAACTGTTGCTAAAAAAAAAAAAAAAATCTGGCAGGACGCAATTATTTATCTCGGCAATGAGCAGTTTGCCTGTTTCCTGCCCATGTCCCTTCTGTTTGGCAGAAAATTAAGCTGCTTCTCTTAAACTTGGAAGGGTTTGCCCCCTTCCTACCCATAACTGCCATGGGTAAAACTCCGTGCCCCTCCTAGAATGCAGGGGAAATTGTACAGCAAGCTTACATTTAACTGCTGCTAAATCGATTTATTTGGAAAATATTTGGCAGCTCTTTCCCAGAGCTCTTTTTGAACAGACGAGCCATTTCATCTGATGCTCTTGAATATAAACCCAGGAGCTTCCCAACCATCTGTAATGAAAGAATTGTTTCCCAGCCCTACCTCCTAAAGACAGCAACTTTAGTAGCTGCACACATCAAAAGACACTCGTAGAGAGAAGATGGGAAACAATATTGTTCAAAGAAAGTGAACTGTTGCATTTAATTAGGCTATTCTTTATTAGCATTCATATTGAGATTTTTTTTTTTAGATTTACATTGATTTAACTGTAATGTATTTATGATGTAAATATATTCTGAGATGAAAACGTCACGGATCAATTGTAAAGGACCCGGATACATAATTTTTAAAAATCAGTTTCAGTTTATATGAGGTTCTCACCCCACTTTCGCTTCTTAGTCAGATTTGTTTATGCAGAATCGACATTTAATAGTGCTAATTGCACTCCAGTTAAATTGCCCTGATTGCAGAAAGGGAAGCAATTTTCGTGCTCTCTGTCTGGGTTTGGAAGAAATTGTTTTATATTCACCTCTTTATAAAGAAGTGGAGATAAGGCACCGAGCCTTTGCACAAATTGCACTTATGGGCTGACTGGCAGCATTCAGGCTCTATAATAGAGCATTATTTGGCCGTTTTGAATAATGTAAAGCATTTGCTGAAAGCTATTCTCCTGAAAATTGCTTTAACTTTTAAAAGGGTGATGATTCACTCCAAACCAGGCCTTTGTTACATTGTCATTATCCCCCCAAATGTTTTAACAGTCAGCTCAACACTTTAGCATAACACATTGATCTTTGTTTAAAAACTCGATTTTTGGAGTATGAAAAAAATCTGTCAGAAAATACTTGACCCCCTAAAGATTTTAGCAGCGTTCCCCCTTCCGCCGCCGTTCGCTCAGCCTTTGCACCGCCTGCCTCGTTCCTGCGGGTTTTAGTTACTTTTCCGACTACAAAGGGGCGAGGAGATGGATGTGCGGCAGGCAGAGCCGCCCGCCAGTCCTCAGGCACAGCAGAATCCCTACTTTGCTGTGGGAGCGCAAGCGGGCAGCGGATGCCTTTACTCGCTGATGTAGAGGCAACATTTTTAAACGTCACGCTCTCGATCTGCCTTCCAGCCGTATTTTATTGATGACTTTCCCCAGGATGAGAGGAAAGACCCTCTCCCCCCGCCGCCCTGGGGTTGGCCAGAAGCGCCGCGCTGCCACTTGACGACCACCATGGCAGGCTCCTGGGAAGGGAAGGAGCGGGTTTCCCCGGAGAAAAGGAAGAAGGAAAGAAGGAAGGAGGGAAGGAAGGAAGGAGGGAGTCACCTGTTGGGCGATGGCTCCCGGGTGCCCTGTGGGACTCCTCGCCTCGCCCGTGGGGGTTATGTCGCTCCCCCCGGCACCGCCGTTGTGCCGCCTCCACCCGCCGAGCGCTGCAGCCCCCCTGGGTACAGCCGGCGCTCAGGAGCTGCTCCGGGCAGCCCTTCCGAGGGAAGGCTTTGCCATGCACCACCCGGACCCCTGCGCCGGCTGCGAGTCAATGTGGAAAGAATTAAGCGCAGGACAGAATTTTTTTCACCTACTGTCCCGACTCTGTTTAATACCCGGCGACAAAAGGGCGAGCGCCCTTTGAAAATAGCCTTAGACGTTTAAATAAAAGATAATCTCCAGGGACATCCATGGCAGTCGCCCTATAGATTGCATAACAATGTAGAAAAAACCGCAATGCCCACCTTATTTAAGCACACACACACATACACATGTAAACATGTGAAGAAAAGCGAAATCATAATCTCAAATTCCCGGTTTCTCCATCTTGCTCCTAAGCGATGTCTATTTTGCATCTGCTAGAAGGTTTTACACTGGATGGCTGAGGCGGCACCGAGAAGGAAATATTGACTGAAATGCAGAGCAAGGGCCCGGGATTGCTAAACGCACTCATCATATTTCTGGTTCAGAATTGTACCCAGCTGCCCTGGGAACGGCAAAAAGGAAGGGGAAAAGCTCCTATTCCCATTCTCACAGAGCCGACCGCGATGATGAAAAGTTGCACGCCTATTGATCTTCCGCGGGCACAGTACGGGCAAGTTCTAGCCAATTACTTAAGAAGCCTCCGATAATTACAAATCAAAGGGACTAGCTTGCAAGACATTGAGGAGCCGAGGTTTGGACTTACATTTTGCACATGCAGAGAGCAGGTATAGTCTCTGTCGCTCACTGGGTGCGTGGAGTGTGCACAGTGCAGAGGCCACAGGCAAGTGCTAGGGCGGCTTATTCCAGCAGCGCCCTAGCACTGCTAGGAGGGAGCAAGCTTTCTGCCATTAGCAGCAATGCTTCCACGGGAGTATATGAGGCTTGAAAAACGTGCTGCAGGCTGCGAATTTGACTTTCAAAGTGTTTTGCTGGCGGTTACTCTGTAAAATAACGTCCTCTATCCTAAGCGACAGGATGGCAAATGCCCCTGGTCCCCTCTCCCTCCCCAGTACGAGAGCAAAGAGATGCCTGGCGGTTCCCTGCCTTTGGAATTTTTTGGCACTTTATATAACCATAGAGGCTCCTCAGTTATTTTTGCAATGAAAGTAAGAAATACGTTGTGCATGAAATCACCTCAGGCATTTAGGTAAGAAAATAAACAAAAAAATTAACGTGTTTTCACAGAATGGCATTAGGCGCTGTTAGGTTATTTGTATCCAACACGGGCGGCTCCCAAATGGCTTGAAAAGGAGGCAAAGGGCCTGTTGAATAAAAGCGACGCAGATATGGTTTACGGGCCGCGAGGATCGCAGGTGACTACACCAGCAGCAGCGCATCGGACACCTCCTGCACAGTTTACAGGAGACGGCGGAGCGGCGTCAGCCGTGACACCAGCCCTTCGCCGGCGCTGACCTC